CTCAAGGAATGATATCGTTCCTCGAAACGAACACTACAAGTTAAGATTCTGTAAATATCACAATATTTAATAAAAATCTTTAAGCAATACATAAACAATTTTTTAGTTAAGTATACATGCCTACATTACACCCCTCATGTTCTCTTCTCTCAAAGTAAAACTAATCTATGTTGTGTCTCACTATATCATAGTCTTACTGTCTTCCAAATGAAACATTTTGAATGCTCGTCTTACAGAAAATATTTGTTACACCCTGTAGCTTCATTTTAAGTTTTTGTTTGAATTTGTATTTTAAAAAAGTTAAAAAAAATTTTCTTAACTACAAATAGCCTAATATTCTAAACTAAGGGAGGGCGTAGAAAAGTGTAGTGTGTATGGCTGTTGGTAAATGTCGTTTGCCATCGTGGACATAGAAAGACTAGTCTAAGGGAGATCCAGAGTTATGCATATTGTGACCGGATCCGTTTATCGACCCCGACATTCGGGACGGCGGTTGGTTTATGCCGAACTCGCCTTCGGCTCGCTCGGCATTGGTATACGAGGCGCATGTATTAAGAATCGAAAGTCTTTAGTTATTTTACTTGGTTGGGGAGAGAATTTTTGTTTGAATTTGTATTTCGAAAAGTTAAAAAAAAATTTCTTAAATCTACAAATAACATGATGTCCCAAGCTAGGTACTTGGTGTCACACTCTGTTTAGCTTCATTTAGAATTTTTGTTTGAATTTGTGTTTTTAAAAAAATCCTAAATCTACAAATAATCTAATGGGCAAAGCTGCTTGGTGTCACATTTTGTTTAGCTTTCATTTAGAATTGTTGTTTGAATTTGTATTAAAAAAAATAATCGATGTAGAGTGTAAGGGAAGGCCCTAGCTATGCCGAACTCTCCTTCGGCTCGCTCGGCATTGGAATAGGAAATGCGTGTGCCAAGAATCGAAAGTCCTAGGTCTTTTTGCTTAGTTAGGTGAAGGGTCGCAGAGTTCCATTAAGAAATTTAAAAAGTTAAAAAAATTCTCAAAACTACAAATATCCTAATATCCAAAGGTGTTTGTTGTGGAACTGTTTATTTTCATTAAGCATTTTTGTTTGAATTTGTGTTTCATAAAAAGTATTTTAAATCTACAAATAATATATTGTCCAAAGCTGCGTGGTACCACTTTCTGTTTAGTTTCATTTTTTTGATTGTTTCCAAGTGAGACGTTTAAAACTTGCGTTATTGAACACGTTTGACTACGGCCAGAGATTTGATTTATTAGCCCCCTAACCTAAGCCACAGCCGTCTATAATTACAAGCCATGCTGAAAAGTTTGGCAACGTTGTTCGAAAGTCAATCGGTGGGCCGATGTAAGTTTTAATGGCGTCTTGTTGCTCTTGAAAAATGGCATTTTCCTCTCTCCTGTGTTTCGCCTTGGCGGTTTTAATATAGAAGAAAGATACTTAGGCAGCTTACAATTGTGCATATATATTATTTATTTACAAAAATGGATAATAACATTTTTATTTGACTTTAAAATTCGGAACGCTGTAAATTGGTAACTGCATCATAATGTGTTTTCCATCGAGATCTCCGAAATTGGTGAACTTCTGTCGAAAGAGGCCGAGGTGAAGCACACGCTTGAGCACTTCATTTCGGTCAAAGAACAGTAAATCGCTGCGCATCAGCGAGGTTATATCAACGACCAGGTGTGATTCGGAATGGCAGACTTTAAGCCAGTCGCTACTCCAGTGGGTCTAGGTACGAAGCTTTTAAAGAGGGGAGCCCCGTAGACTTCAAATTCCCGTACCATGAACTCTTGGGAATAAGTTGAAAGGTTCCTTCAGAAAATCGATTTGACATGTCTGTGCTAGAATACCTGAAATACAAACTAATTGTATTTTTTCACGATAAACACTTACTGTACTTACGTACCAGGTAGTGTGTAGGTCATATTTGAGCTTGTACAGGTACTTTGAACAAATACAAGTGCTTGTAAAGGGTCCAGTAAGGAGTAGCCTGCTTTAGAGGTTATGACAACAAATCGATATATTTCGTTTAGCAACTTACCTGAATAATAATTTCTGGTCATTCCGTACGGAGTAACACAAATTGTCGCAATTTCGCTCTGTTAAGACAGGTAAATTGGAATATTACACCCAAAACACATATAACATACACCCAAAATCTGTCAAGTTGAATTAGGAAATCGGCCTACCATACAGTGTTGCCATAATTCTCAGCACGGCTTGTAATTATAGACGGCTGTGCCTAAGCTAACTAACTAACCTACATCCAAACACTATCTTTACTCGAACGAGCGGAGAAAGCGGAACTTAACTATCAGCGGAAATGACCTAAACAAAACCCCCTATCCGAAGAATGAGCTGAAAGAGAACTATGTTGTTGTTAGGGAAGTATTATACACTACGTGTACACCCCTCAACGCAGTACGCCTTGGTACACGTCAGGGAATACTCCCCAATGGAAGTTGCGCTAAAAAGCACTACTTGCTAAGAAAATACATCGACGGAACCGGCGCAACGTTCAACTGAACATACGCGGTTGAAATGTGGTATTGTTTGAACGTTTATATTGCGCATGCGCCGATACAGATGTATTTTTTTCAAATGGCGCCATCTATACAACTGTCATGGGAACTGTCAAAAAATCTGGGACATTACAATTTTGACCATTTTGAAGGAAATTTAACGTGTTTTATCGTTGTTATGAAAATGTCATCGTAAACGAACCTACATTTGCACAATTTCGAGTAATCGACTTGATGTCGACCAAAAATTCATGCCGATGTACATGTTGCTACGTAGCATAAAGACATTTACGATAGAAATGGTATGAAAATTTATTATTGATGTAACAAATTATCCGTGTTCTTCAAGAAGAAGTCCTATAGAAGGTTATTCATCAGTTCATCAGTTTATATTCCGGTTAGAGCAAAAAGTATGTGCAAGATTCTAGCGGAAACGAAAGCATCTCGTCACATGAAATATTCATGCTTAGGAAGGTAGCGAAGTGTTACTTTTAGTTCGTTACCTTCCACTTTTATTTCTACATGTCCACTAGTATTAAAATGACCACCTATTACCACTTGGTCCAAACAGAGAACTACGTTATTATTATAAAAAGGTATAAAAGCTCGTACTTTAAATATACTTATTACCATTACAGGACACGATATTGTTATAAAAAACTCTCTACGATGTCTGCGACGGTGCATAAGACGACGGGAAAGTTTCAGAGATTTTTGCTTGACGTACAGTTTGAGAGTGTTTTAAAAGGTATTCACCTAATAGGGGTCTTTGATGGGCGGATTGAATCCATACAGTACTGGCGGGATGTGGGGGTTGAGATCCGAGACTTAGAGCGTTATGTAAGATTGAGTCAACCAAACGCTATCTACATTTTAGATGCCGATTTATTCATCGCGATAAGTGCGACAAGGGTGGAATTTGGTGACAAACGAAAGACAAAGAAGTTTACTTGTGTGAACGTGACTCAGAGCACGTTCATAAAGAAGCGCATAAGTAATGAAGTGTCGTACACGTTTAGACTTATGACCATCCCGAGTATTGTTACGCCTTTTGAAAGTATCGGCCAGACTAACGATAACTTAGGAAGCGATGAGGAAGTAATCGATGCAGACGAAATCGATATCATTTACGAAAACATCAGGAGTAAGAGAACGTCAGCAAAACGTGGGCGCGGTGCATCGATCGTAGCTGGCAGACGAACCGGAACATCTTCAAATTCTTCCCCAAGCGTTCATTCGCTTGCGGAGGATTTGGAGAAATCGAATGTGACGCAATTTCCATTAGACGTGGACAGCGACTATGCCGACAGCGATGGCGACGAAAAGACTAATGCATGCATGGGAGAAGGAGACAGCGATAGCGTCCAAGAGGAAGTCGACCCGATGCAACAGACGTACCAAGAGGTCGAGAGTTGTTTCGCGAAACCGTGGGTTTGGGTAACGGGAGCCAGTAATTTGAGTGGTTTATGTATCGTACGCAAATTTATAAGCGAAGCCCCAGTCACCTATATTTATTGTTATCCAATACTTGCTTGAGGATGAAGTCCATTTGTAAAGAATCTCCAATGCAAAGGCATGTGAAATACTACCTACGAAACTATAAGTTCCAACAAAATTGTAAAAACTTCTTTGTCTTAAAATTTTTATGCTTTCAAGTACCTACCTATACCGTATAGGTACCTACATATACATATTCTAAGAATTGTGTTAGAAATCGTGAACAATTTTAAAAATCATATTTCCATGCGTAATACATTCATAAACAATAAATAAGGAATACTACACAAACTCCTCACGATCACTCAAAATGATTCAATTATTTTCATGGATTTCTATTATAGCATGTACACTTTGTATGTGGAGAAATCGTAAAGAAATTTCTCCCGATGAGGAACGTGTTCTATAGGAGGCTAAAACAACCACGAGTGTAATAAGTACTTTGGATGTATTGTTAACTAAGACATTGTATTTTTAACATGCACATACAAAGTGAAATCACTTGCTGCATGCAAGGCATCATTTGTACAAAGTGTACATGTACATGTATTTTTTAATATTTTTTTATGGTCCACATCAATTTAGCACAAAATAGATAGAAGTAAATTTATATTTAGATTTATGAATTTCTCTAGAAACTGCCTACACAAAACACCAAGAAACCGCAGAATCTAGATGATGTCAAATTGAAATAATCTAGCAGATCCCCTATTGATTCATGATTTTTTGCTACAGCATGTACTTAGTGTTTCAGTAAAAAAATTTTGTAAGATTAGTATAGGTTATTGTTACTTAAATGCTGTATACTTTCGACCATACACTTTGTGTACTTTAAAAATCTTTACAATTCTACATTAAATAAATAAAACTACATAACATTTCGGTTTAATGAACATCCAATACATTGGATTATATGTCTTTCCCCCTTTCGAATGTAAAATGGGGAAGTACTTGTAAATTACATGTCGCGTGTACGATCTCTATAAGTGCGTTCGGTTTTACAAGATTTGGTCGCTCTTTTAACTCTTTAAGCTCGAATTGCGTTCGGTTTTCACCTCATATCGCTCATTTTAATCTATTTCGTGTTCGGTTATATGCACTCTTGTTGCTCCGAGTTAGCTCGATGCGCTCTATCACTTTAGACCGAGTGTACCGATTTAATTGTCAGTAGGTCAACTGTACCGTTTATAATACATCGCGTGCATCACGTGATCAAAAAACAGCTGTCAAATCGCTCGTAGGACAAACATACCCTCATTTCATACAGGTTAATATACTATTAAGGAAAAAATTGGAAAATAAACTGAAGAATAAACTTGCGTACGGCAACATAAAACGTTTAAAGTAATTTAATATAGTGTAGCAAGTGTAGTGTAGTAATTATATAGACATAAAAAGTACTTTGAAGGCTTAGGACAATATGCCCAACTTTTGCGCTGTTGCTCAATGTGGCAGTAGAAGTAATAGAGACAAAGTGTCGTTTTTTCGTTTTCCTTCCATATATGACAACAACAAAAAGGTCGATCCTAGAAAAGAACGTAGACGAGAAGCTTGGATATTAGCAACGAGAAGAACAGATCTCACGGACAGTAAATTAAAGTACCAAATGATTTGCTCAAGACATTTTTTGGAAGGTATGTTATTTAGACATTAGCTAAATTTGTTAACTGTGAGAGGTAGAACTATTTGGAAAAGGAACAACAACACGCCAGTAAAAAATAAGAATACTTTGTTAAAAGCATATGACTTACAATGTGTGAAATGTGTCGAAAACAGATTGTTGTTTCCTTTTCTAGTTGGTCTGCTGGAAATATCACGTTACAAAAAAAGTAATAAGACCGTTAATTTGTAGGAAAACCTGCAAAATTAAGTGATGAGAACCATCCAGATTGGATACCATCACAGAATATGGGTTACGACAAACGAAAAGCGAGTATGGAAAGATATAATAGATCCAAGAAACGCATAAAACAAGTAATTGGCACTTTGCAGGTATGTTTTGGCTGTTACCTCTCTAATCTATTTATTTTAAAGGAATCCATTCAGGAACCCCTACTTAACATGGAAATTGCCACTCATTCGGCAGAAGTTTTTGATAATCTAACATCCACACTGGAAACAACTGAATGTACAAACGTAACAGAAAAGGATTTGGAGTATGGATTATTAAAAGCAAATGAAGAGATATACAGACTTCGAAAGGAATTGTCAGTTCATAAATTTAGTATGAGTGATATGAAGGATGATGCAAAATGTAAATTTTATACGGGACTCTCTTTTGAGGTTTTAGAAATTGTTTTTCAACTTGTAGAGCCTTACATAATGATAACGCCTAACACAACTTTATCTAAATTTGAACAAGTAATATTAACACTAATGAAATTACGTTTAAACTTATTATTTACTGATTTAGGTTACCGTTTTAACATATCTCGTTCCACTTGTGGAAGAATATTTAAAAATGTATTGCATGTCCTTTACAAGAAATTAAGGTCTTTTGTACAATGGCCAGAACGAGAATGTTTGTGTGCTACAATGCCCAAATGTTTTAAAGAAAATTTTGGGAATAGGGTCACTGTAATAATAGATTGTTTTGAGATCTTCACAGAAAAACCAAAAAATAAAGAAGCATCTTCTCAACATTTTTCGCATTATAAACACCATCACACTATCAAATATTTTATTGGAATTTCGCCACAGGGCAGTGTTATGTTCATTTCAAAGGCATTTACTGGGCGAAGTAGTGATAAATTTATTACTGAAAATTCAGGGTTTTTAAAAAATTTGCTTCCGGGGGACCTCATATTAGCCGATAGAGGCTTTTTAATTAAAGATAGTGTCAATTTATGCATGGCAGAGGTGCAAATGCCAGCATTTCTAAAAGGAAAAAAGCAGTTGCATCCCAAAGAAGTGGAGGATACTCGTAAACTTGCAAATGTAAGAATACATGTAGAAAGGGTTATTGGGCTTTTACGAAGAAAATATAAAATTACTTCCAATACTTTACCAATGTTTATGGTTCGTTCAAAATATAAAAAAATTCAAACAATAGATAAAATTCTTACAGTATCTTGTGCACTTATTAATTTTTGTCCAAGCATTGTTCCACAGTAATAGCTATTTTTTGTACTTTCAACTTGTACAAGGTATTGGTTATTAATAAAGTTCATAAATTTAAGAAAAAATTTACAATATATACAAATAAGATAGATACACTACAACAATCAAGTACATAATATAATGTATCACATTCCAGAAAGAATAAGATTAACTGTAAAAAAAATGTCTGAATGAATCCAAAATATATCATTTGCGAAATTTAAGTGTTGCACATTTTTTACAATACCACACACCCTTCGGTACACTTTTTTTCTTTAAATCTTTTAAACTGTACCACTGTACACTACAGTATTTGTTAGCACAACAAATCATATCGTGTTGCCCTACTTTATGCTTAGATGTGGGTACATTATCTTGCACGTTTGTAGATATTTGTTTTAAAGGAAGTAGTCTTGTAAAATACTTTCCAAGTAATTCAGGCATTATTACATTATTAAAAAATGCTAATGCTTTTTCACTCTCACATTCCCAAAATGTTTTGTCACTATACACTCTTTCCAGATAAAAATTCTTCTTCGACCATACAACCAAATCACAGTATGACCTTTCGGCAACTGCCATTTGCATTTGTACTTGGTGAAAATAAGAGTGATTCTGATCAAGGTCGATGCTCCATATATTGTCCTCCAGTACGTTTGCTTTTAAACACATGTTCTTGAAGTGAACCAATTCCTCAACATTGCTGTCACGCACGCAGTATGGACATTTAATTTCCAGACAACCAGATCCACAACAATCGCAACTCACCAGACCATCAGGGCTTGCACCAAAACATGGAAACATTGAGTTAATTATCAGCCCCGACGTTTTTATTACAAAATTCTCATGTTTTGGAAGCATGAAAGCTTTATATGCCTCTATAGCATCTTTTTCATGCAAGCATCCATAAGTGGTCTGCTTTGAAAAAAAAGGTTTCTTGTAGCAGATTGCCTTAATTGTGCTTATTGCGGGTTTTGTTAATTTAGTTCTGCAACAGGCTTTAAACAAAGATGCAGTTATGCGCCCTTCACGAAAACAAAACCAATTTTTGTTACCTGCTTGCCCCATTGTTTTTTCTTGAATGATTGCACATTCATCAGAAGTTAGATGAAAATCAATTGTTTTCCCAACTTCGATTAGCTCGTTCAAGGTCTTGGTTTCATGTTTTTGATCATACAAATTGTTTAAAATTCCACGTTGATATGTCGCTTCTTGGTTTTCCTGTTGTAACGTAAAACAATATGGGGATGTAACTTTTAATATCACAGGGGTATTTTTCAGCGCACTGAGCTTTTCCAAAAAGGTTGCCTTTTCTAAATCACCTATTTCATCTACATCACTATTACTTGAAGTGCTACTGTTTTCATGTTTATGCACAGAATAATCCACTTCTTCTACACTACTAGGCACACCTAAGTTTGTGTTTGGAACCATCCAGTAGGCCTTTTCACCAGTGACCGAGATTGGCTCTGTATCCCGAACAGCAGCTTCAACTGCGAATAATGCGGCACCTACATGACTGCAGCACTCCCCCAAACCTGCAGTACAAGTACAATGTGCTGTAAGTACTTCACCATTGTTTTTTACAACACACCAAAGGCTAACTGGAGGTAAATTTAACCTTTGTGAATGTATGACCTGCAAGAAAGAAAAAACTATAGATATACATATATTACTATACAATGTTAGGCAACATACCTCAGAAAGTAATAAAACATTATCTGAGTTTGTGATTTTCTTTACACACAATGTTTTAATCCACTTAGAATGGAATAAATTGTACGCCTCCAGGCTTTTATATGCCTTAAACTCATCTTGTGTGTACGCACTTTTATTAAAAACTAAATAATTTACGATATCGAAATACGTAACTCTAGGAAAATCGTTAATGTTTGTTGAACATGTACCAATACTAACTAAATAAGGATCTACATTATTAACTAATTTAATTTTGTCCAAGTAACGATTTTTAACGTCTGTTGGTAAAGTATTAAAATAGTCACTTTTATCGCACATATTACAACACTTAACAAATCAATTCTATTTCAAAAATTTAAAAATTAGGGCCACAATTTGCATAAAACGTATAGCGAGCAGTGAAGTGTTTGTCCTACAAGCGATCAGCTGTTGTATCGTGACGTCACATGCACGCGATGTATTAGCGCTTTTTCTTTACTTATAACCTAAAAAATGTCGGAAGAATTTAGTACTTTCGCTTTTAAGTGCGATTTATGTAATTCAATCACTGAAAATGTTGAAGAAATGTTTGCGCATATGCTTGAAAATCATAATTTGCAAGGTAATTTTGAAGTTATCTTTATAGTTTGATACCACTAATTGAAATAATTGTAGAAGGAGAAGCTCTGCAATGTATAACTACCAGTACTGTGGAGTCTCAAGGTTTACCTTTTCCCGAGAAGGCAACAATCGAACCGAAAGTATGGAATTCTCAAATGACCATGTCATTCATTACTTTAGTTGACGAAAATCAGACTGAAATGGAGCACTCTGTAAAAAAACATGTTTGGCAAAAAATTGCCTCTCTTATAAATAGCAAATTCAATACTACTGTTACATGGCAACAGTGTGACACTAAATGGAAGTCGTTGAAGAAGACTTACAAAGATATTAAGGATCATAATGGCACTTCTGGGAAAAATAGACGAAAGTGGGAATACTATGATGCAATGAACCAATTATTATTCAATAAGCCGGAAATTGAAGCCATTGCTACATGCAGTAGCCATGCTGGCCTTATTGTCAGTGCAGAAAAGGGTTCATCGCCATGCCATTCTGGAAGTAGTACTCCCACAAGTAGAAGTAGCACTCCTACTCGAGACAAGGGCGAAACATCTTTTTCAAGAAAACGTAAAGCAACCTTAAATGAAGTAGACAAAAGACACAAAGATAAGTTGGCAAGGCAAGATCGTTTTCTTTCCTTATTTGAAGAGTTCGTTACTACATTTAAAAATAAAAATCAGTGAAATAATGTAATATTTGTGTATTTACTTTGTTATCTACATGTATTACTAATGTACTTTCAAAATAAAAAATTCATCAGTTTTGAAAACGTACATTAAGTGGCAATGTATTCATGATATAGTTACGTTTATCAACCGCAGGTACATCGATAATACGTTCCTCAGCATGTGCAGGAACCACGTTTCCTACTTCTACCTCATTAGGTTCGACAATGTCTTCTGGAAAATCACCTTTTACGATACATATATTATGCAAAATACATCCAGATACGATTAACAGTGAAATAAGGTCTAGTCGCACTGTTTCCAGAGATTTTAAGCGACGAAACCGTCCTTTTAGATAACCGAACGCATTTTCTATTACTACTCTACATTGAGACAATTTATAATTAAAATTTTTTTGTCGAGCTGTTAATCTTCTATATATATAAAAATGTTATGTTGGTTTGTGTACGCCTTAAAAACTCGAAAAGTTTTGCACCGATTGAACTGAAATATATACACGATATCCAATCCGCTTCAGGGATGGTTTTTATCTATTTTTCGCGTCAGTAAAATGACCTCGCCCGCGAGAAAACATCTTTTCTTACGGTCAGATATGTACCAGTAACCGCGCCATCTGTCGGAAGCGAGGGACACACTCGCCATACCAGCCAGCGACTGCGAAATTTGGGCAGCGGTGTACCAGTAACCGCGCCATAGACTAAATAATTTTAGTCTATGACCGCGCCGTCTCTGGAATAAAGTTACAAACATTATTATTATGGCACAAAATTGCAACAAAACATTATAAACATTATAAAAAAACATCATAAACATAATACATGTATTTAAACATAAACTGGTGATTGCAACTGTCTGCGTTTGCTTTCTGTAGTTGTCTTATTACACAAAAACGAAAATAAACATTATTATTATGGCACAAAATTGCAACAAAATATTTAAATACATTATACAAAAAAAAATTCATAAACATAATACCTACATATGTTTAAACTTAAACAAAAACGAAAATAAACATTATTATTATGGCACAAAATTGCAACAAAATATTATAAACATTATAAAAAAATATCATAAACATAATACATGTATTTAAACATAAACTGGTGATTGCAACTGTCTGCGTTCGCTTTATGTAGTTGTCTTATTATAAAAAAAGGAAAATAAACATTATTATTATGGCACAAAATTGCAACAAAACATTTAAAAACATTATTAAAAAAAAATTCATAAACATAATACCTACATATGTTTAAAGTTAAACAAAAACGAAAATAAACATTATTATTATGGCATAAAATTGCAACAAAACATTTAAAAACATTATAAAAAAAATTCATAAACATAATACCTACATATGTTTAAAGTTAAACAAAAACGAAAATAAACATTATTATTATGGCATAAAATTGCAACAAAACATTTAAAAACATTATAAAAAAAAATTCATAAACATAATACCTACATATGTTTAAACTTAAACTGGTGGTTGCAACTGCCTGCGTTCGACTTCTGCATTTGTGTCTTCTGTCAGTGGGCTTTTTTCAAACAATGATTCCTCACTGGTTTCTGTCAGTGGACTTTTTTCAAACAATGATTTCTCACTGGTTTGAGTCTCACCTGACACTTCTAATGATTGCAACAGACTGAGTTCGACTTCTGCACTTGTGTCTGCCAATAACATGTCGAAGTCATCGTTCAAGGTATGTTGAAACGGAAGTTCTGCGTTACGAACTGGTGCCTGCTTCTTCGCAATATTACCAGTCGTTTCCAGCACTCTTTGTTTTCTCTTGGCGATTGCTGCATCCTTCTTTGCTTCGATGTTTTTCTTCAGCGCATCGGCAAGTTTTTTACGAGCAATTTGGCTGCGTTCTATGGTGTGGCCGCACATTTCACAGTATCTATTAGATACGCATACATATGCTGTGCACACGCAATATTCAATTCAGCATTGAAAGTGAGGAAATTACATATAAGTCGATAGACGCTGTTGTGGAGGCAGATGAAGCAGTTAATTATCCAACGGAATTTTTGAACTCACTTGATCTGCCAGGGATGCCACCACACATATTAAAATTGAAAATAGGTGTGCCCATCATCATGTTGCGGAATATTAATCAGCCAAAACTATGAAACGGTAC